AATACACCAGTAACCACCACCTACCATCAGGTTCAGGTACAAGCGCTTCCGATTCGTAGGTACAGCAGACTGGCTCGTCAGTACACTGCTTTGTCAGCCAATCATAGAGCTGTGTTCGTCCCGGGCACTCATGAATCTGGACAACCTCGAAACCGACACAGGTCATGTACTGATTGCAGGCAACGGGATGTTTGTAGATTCCTTCCGAGCCCGGACACACAGGGTAACCTGGAAAGAGACGTTGTCACGTTCCTCTTTAGAAAGTTATTAGTAACTTAAAGGCAAAATGAAATATGGTTAACGTTCAGCTTAAATGATGTTAACACCATTCATTAAAATTTTCCATTCGCTTTTTGTAAAAAAATTAATTAATTAAAACTTTTATAAGATTGTCAACATGAGAATGTCTCTTAAATATTTCTAAAAGCAACTCTCTTGATAAATATATAAAAATGTGCTAATATTTTTGATTTTGCATAAAAAAGATAAAACAACAACATACCATCTAGCCCTGTGCTGGGCGGTGCTGGAGGGTCGCTCATGTCATAAGGGCACCCTGGCTTGGGTTTGGGCTTTGGCTTCTCCACCGGTGGCAGCGGCAGTATGGGCCGATTATGACACTTGACGTTCCAGGGCCAGTCACACCAGTTTTTGGACTCCACATACATAAGACCTCTGGCACACGGTCTGTTCCTGTAAACTTGGTAATCTTCACACGTGACAAAGTCTCTGCAGTTCAACGGCTCCTCCCAGTTACCATTAGGAGCGCGGCATATTGGATTCTCTGAACACGAATTTAAGAGTTATTACTAATCATGACCTGCATACTGGTTTTTACAATTGAAAACTCCAATTTATTATATCCCAAACAGCAAGACGTCCCTTAAATCTTGTCATATGGGACATGATACAGAATCTAAGTAAAACCACCCCAATGAAGGACTCTTAGGCCTACTTCATAATACCATTGATGGCAAGTTGCGTCTTTAGAGTCATTCAATCCTGAAAACCCTAACAAAAAAGTCCCATAGAATCCTATCAGATTTTATAAGATCCTCTAGAAAATTGGGCCATTTTCCCATAGAATCCTATGGAAACTTATAGGATTCTATAGGATTTTTTCGTAAAGGTAACAAGGGTAAGCCCAACCCATAGCTATGGCACAAACTCAGGCACATTATTATCAGTACTTACTGTGTATGGTCCTGTTTTTACAGCGTATAGTAGTATCTTCTTCACACTTGCTGGTGTTCTCATTGAACAACAACCCCACAGGACAAACGTATTCCACGTCTATCATGGTGTCGTTCACCTCGTCATAGCACGCCACCAGGTAACCACCACAGTTGTTGGGGTTTCCTTTTACCTCGCACGGCGGCGGCTCTGGAACCAAAGCATACAAGTGCATGTTTACAATGGGCATTAGGCATTTTATGTCATAGCCAAATCAGATTATTTCCCTCAAACATTTGCTTATGCTTCCTTTTTCTCCAAGGTAAACCAGGTCCTGGTTGTTTATTTTTCTACGGTACTAATTTTAATCGAAAAACAATGGAGAGTCGAACAGAAAGCCATCTCTACATATCACTCAACACGAAATTCAATATTAGCCCATTTCATAAACTGCGTGAATCTTCACGAAGTATTTCATTCAATTGACTTCCATGGTATGTACTTATTGAGTGGTTACATTTCACCTATATTTTTACACGGTAGGCCTATATCTTTAAAGGAATAATCTTTGACTGAAGTGGTGGTTGAATACTATAGACAGGTACACATATTGCAAGCTGCTTCAATTTGGTTTAACATTATATGTAATATTTGTAATAATTTAGTTGTGAAATGCTAAAATCTAAACGATCCATTATACCTGTTCGATTCCTCATAACCTGTCGGACGTGCATTGCCATGACGTCACAGAGCACCGCCTCTGGTGACGCGCACCTGCCAGTCACGTTGTCGTAGTGCATTCCATGTGGACAAGGGTTGTCATGGAGAACTACGAAATCTACTGCGCAAGTGTAGAACTCGTTGCAGCGAAGTGGGTGCCGGAACGTGCCGTTGGGTGCGGGGCATATGGGCACTTCTACCCACACTGTAATCAAGATAGTTCAACATATAATCATGTTTCAATAAAAGGTAATGTTTATTTCATTTTTAAAAGTTTCAGGTCGATGTTAAAATGGAGAAACTCTTCTAGAATCCTACAAAAATGTAGAAGACGCTTGAGGTATTTGTGTGTGCAGATATGACTGCGTGCTCTTTGTTAATTTGAAGCTGACCACAGACTACTGACCTATCTCGCAGTTAATTCCAGTGACCATGGGTGGACAATCGCACGTGTACATGTTGACCAGGTCATTGCACGTGCCCCCATTTTGACACGGAGCTGATTCGCATTCATTGATGTCTGAATGATAAAGTGAAAGAAAAATGTACATAAAAAGTACTTAAATAAAAGTAAAATACCACTGTACAAAATAACAATTTAATCGCTTTTGCAAGCTTTTTGTAATACAGATTAGTTATTCTGTTCTTTGGTACAAGTAATAGTTATATATAATTACAGAGACAAAAAGATTACATTTAAGGTACAAAAATACTGTAACATAACTATTATTCTGTGAAGTTCCTCAGTTGGAAAGAGAAACTAAGCTGCAATGATCACAGGCTGTAGCTGAGCTCGTATTGATCCGTGTGCGCCAGACTAGTATTCAGCTCTTTGTTTTACCTACCTGTCTCACAGCTGAGCCCTGTGTATCCAGGGACGCAGGTACAGGTGTAGTAACCGATCTCGTCAAAACACGTCCCGTCATGCTGACAAGGGTTAGATGCGCATTCATTTATATCTGGTGCATGATGAAAGAAAAAGAATAAACATGTAGGATTCAAAGACGTTTAACAAATTGTCGTCGGGAAACACCCCAGTTGATCTTTTTAACGATCACAGTAATATGCTGTATTAAGACCATTATTTCCAGTCGGTAAAAAATAATATGCTCGTTTATGTTGCCATTAAAAAACATCAATGGTGACCATAAGACGAACTCACAAGTTTAGCTTTAAGTTTTTTCAAACCTTAATAACTTAATATCAACGCAAAATATCTAAGCAATGCTGGTGAGTTAATGATTTCTATTTACTTTCACATGATGTGTTGGCTTGCTATATTTTATATTTCGTTATTTAATGAAACATATTAAACATTTTTATTACCCGTTTCACAATTTATTCCAGTGTATCCCAAGACGCATGCGCACTGGTACTTTCCAATGAGATCCAGGCACGTGGCACCGTTGAGGCAGGGGTCTGAGGCACACTCATTGATATCTATATGGGTATAAATACAGGCATGTATTTTTTTTTTACAATACCCACTGCTCAATAAAGAATAACATTAGGCCTAAAGCAAATAAAATTAAGAAAATAATATTATGTTCTAATGTTCCAATATTGAATAAAAATACTGATACTAGGTAGTGCTGCTATCCTTAAAGGTCACATCCAATGTTGATGAATTAAGGGCAATTATATTTTCTTGGGACAATAATTTTATTTGTTTTGGTATAAAGTTATAAAGAAATCAGGCTACAAATTAAGTCTCAGTTTTAGCGAACACAACCCTAGACAATATTTCCGAGAGCTTTTTGCCGTTACCCATGGCAACGTTGACGTATGATGTTGACGTGATCAGGCTATGTAATGAGCTATGGAATGTGCATTTTTGAGACGTGAGCATTAATTTTCACACTTTGAATTGAAAACCTTCTCACCCGTTTCACAATGGACGCCGGTAAATCCTAGAGCACACGTGCAGGTGTAGAACGCGATGCCGTCCTTACAGGTGGCACCATTCTGGCAAGGATTGGATGCACACTCATCAATATCTGTGTAAATAGATGAGAGATCTTAGACAGCAGTGGAACATCTACGTAGATGTAGGTAACTGGGCAAGTAAACCCACAAACAGACAGGACGGTTGAATGAGGTGCGTTTTGCGTGCGTGGGCGCGTGCGTGTGCTTGCGTGAGTGTTCGTGTTGGTATTGTCAGGAGAGCGTAAGGCAGAATAGTCTAACTCAGAGTTATAAGGCAGCTATCAATTAATTGCCACAAACGCTGACCTTTCTTTCAAAATAATAAAACATTTTACTGCAGCAAGAGTCTATGCGTTAATAATACCATTTAAAGCCTGAGAAACTTACTGGTTTCACACTTGAGCCCCGTGAAGCCGGCTGGACAGAAGCACGTGTAGCCGTTCACCTGGTCTCGACAGACTCCGCCATTCAAACATGGCGCCGACGCACACTCATTGATATCTAGACATGGTGAAATTATCGTCAACTTTGTGTTCGATGTTTTTATACTATTACACCAGTCAGCATTGTCAAAAGAATTAATTACGCCATATCTAACTAAAACACAATATTGATGAATACGCATCTCATGGAAGCGGTTATATGTTATACAACAATCGACTGTTGTAATACCGAACCACTTGTCCCGATTTTTGTATTCTTGCTTAGTATGCCTTGGACGAATAAAACGTCCAAATTTTGGGTCACATACGAGGTGGGAACAGCATTAAAAAAAGAGTGCGAAAACCTCTAAATAATTAATTAGTGTTTTTTTTTTCAATAATTACTACAGCTTTAGAAAAATATTTATGATAGAATGGCTCACCAATTTGACAGCGTCTTCCCGTGAAGCCTTCTCGGCACATACAGCTGTATCCGTTCACCAAGTCCGTGCAGTTCCCGCCGTTGACACATGGGGACGGGTCGCAGTCGTTTATATCTGTTTAAATAACGCAAGGCTAAATGGTGTTATTTCTTTAAAAACGGCCAGTGTGCGTGTATAACACCCCATTTCCATAGATTTTTAGATCGATCTATCCCTGTGGGGATCGAGTCTCACTAGATTACTGTCAGCTTGGCCGGCTTAAGCGTCTGTCCCGCCTACTAAAAGCTGTAAGGGGGTAATTAACTATGGTGCCCGCTCGGCTGACTGCAATTTAGCGTGAACCCCCAGGGAGTTAGGTCGATCTAAAACTTAATCTTTAGATCGATCTAAATCTCTGGGAAAGCACCCTAAGTATACTGTTTGAGCAACATGATATCTAGAGGATTTACCACGGTTTTTAAGCTTTCATAGACGCTGCTTGCCTAAATCTCTCTATTTCTCTCTCTCTCAAATGCCAGAAAGATCTATCTCTCTCTTCGATTGGTCGACCAATAAAAGAAAGAATAACTTGTTATATCAATAAATATAATAATAGCATATATATATAATAATAGCATGGTATGAACACAGACACCTACCTGTCTCACACCTGACACCAGTATATCCCGGTACACATAAACACTGGTATCTGTTTAACCCATCCACACACCGGGCATCATTCTGACAGGGATTGGAGGCACACTCGTCTGTTTCTGAAATAGAATAGAATATGATGGGTTAGCTATTGTTCACTTACATTCTATACTTCACTCCCCCGAGATACAATACAATACATTACAATACCGTTTTGTTATCAAATAAGCAAAAAAAATTAAATAAAAATAAAAGAATAATAATAATATTAATAGCAAGC